TTTGGTGAATGTTGACCTCTTCACTGCTGCGGGTCGGGAGCCCCCAGATGTTACCGGAACCCCTGAAGATTTTCCACTTGCCTATGTGCAAACCTCAGTCCCTCCACTCTTCCTTACCAAGACACTCCTCTCTTGTGACGTGAAAGGGACTAAGTGCCAAGCCGCAGACACTCCAATTAAGGATACGAGCATACAGGGCACAGGTGATGACTCCTGGGAAGTAACTATATACAGGTTTTCTAAATGAAGAACACAGACACACAAATAACTAATTATAACATGTATTGCACCGTGCACTGAATGAGGGTGATTCTGATTCAACCACTAAATGCTCCTCATTACCAGCTGGAAAATTCTGCTATCTCCCTTCATGCTGGTGCTCGAGGGGTGACCAGAGCAGGAAAGCTCAAACTGTCCGCCTGTTCGGGTTTCTTGTGCCCATCCAGATCCGATTTGAAATGTTCCTGGCACCAGACAGACAGAAGGCAGAGAGCTGCAGAGATGACCGGCCCGGGCCAGGTTTGAGACCTGCTCTGCCGCAGCCCAGCTGTGGAACCACGTTGAGCTTTTGTTCTGTAAAGGTTCAGTGATGGTAACTATCTGATGGACTTCACAGGAGAATTAACTGAGAAAAATGTGTGTGAGAGAAATCAGAAAAATGAAGAGGCAGAGACAGGAAGCTTGCTTTCTCTTTACTGCAGGGAGGTTTCAGTCCAACTTTCCTTTGGATCAACTGCAGCACAACCTCAGCGGCCTGTTCACTCTTAAACAGCACACACTTATGGCCCAGATTCAATGTGTCTGGCTGCCTGCCAAGGAAATACCTTTGCAATATCCAGGGTATTATGTAAAGTCAGCCGGCAGCTTGACTAATTTTCACCTGAATAGTCCACACACTATATATTCAAAAGTACTTAGAACAGGGTTTGTCCTTAGCAGTAAAGTGATATATATATCATATATATAGCTGATTTGCCCTGATACTATTTTTCTATCCTCTTTTCAGTCACATATTTCTGCATAATCACACCTCACATGTGTGAAATTGGAATGGTTTATGTGTGAGGACCAAAACTAATAGCTCTGGAGAACCATTTCCACCAATGGTAGAAAAATTCAATTCTCTCTCCTTCTGGGTAACTCAGCCGCCTCTACTATAATACAAATCTCTCTCCGGTCAATCTTTAGTCATACTTGAACACCACACTCTGGTGGTATGGGGCCGGGGGTTAATGGATCTCTTTTTCTGGTGATTTAGTATTTTTCTAGCTTCAAGGGAGGTACCTGGTTTGAGAACCATCCTCTGGTGCTCCCTAGCCTCCCTTAAATTGCCTTGTCCAGCTGGATCTTTGAGACTGGACTTCTGGCCTTGTTACAGCTGCTGAGAGATTCATATGTAAGGTCACTCATGGTCAGTCCTCTCAACATGGTCAGGCATGGTCAGCATGTGGCCATCTACCCCTCTCCATCAAAGCTGACTCAGGGGGCTGGGGGTTTAGCTCAGCAGCACAGCGCCTGCCTGGCAAGTGCAAGGTTGTGAGTTCGATTCCCAGTACCAGAAAAAAAACTGTTATGGTTGATACATTGTGTCAACTTGGGGAGTCTAGAGGTTTGGCTAAATAACTTAACAGAAAGCCAGAATACTTACTTTGTATACATCCTGAGCCTGTGGAAGAGGAGGGCATGGAGATTATGTGAGAGCTGCAGGCCCCTTAGGTGGAGGTAATCTGTTTACAAAGTAAGGCAGGGAAAGAAGCTGCTTGCTGCCATTCTCCGGTTTGCTCTGGCTGTTTGCTGTTCGGCTGCCATTCCCCCTTGCTCTTGTTGCTTTGCTGTCTTCTGCCTCGGAGCCAACCAAGTATGGACTGAAACCTCCACAAACTGTAAGCTAAATAAACCTTTCCTTCCTTCATTTTCGGCGTTGGGTATTTTGTCTCAGCAACGAGAGAAAAGTAACCAAGACAAAAACAAAAAAGCAAAAAAAAAAAAAAAAGCTGACTCAATCTCGGCTCTCACTGCTTCTCTGTGAGAAGAGATACAGAGAATCTATATCTTGGCTCTGAGATACAGCCACATTTCCACGTTTATCCTTTGCCTCGTGCTGTTCACCTACAGCTGTTACTGTCAGCATCACTGTCCACCAGCAGCCCACCAGCCTGTCATCCTTACCTACCCTGGGTCAGGAGAACTCGACTCCAATCTCCAGCACACTTCAGCCTCAGAACCCACATGGCCTAAGGAGGTGTTGCAGTTAATGCTCCCCAGGAAACAGATTTTGAGATTTGCTCATGAAAGTTTTATTGACAACTGTTCCCCAGAAGGATACCCATAAGGAAGCAAGGGAAGGTGGGCTTAGCAGACAGAAAATGTACCGGTGCAAGAAGCTGATTGTCATGTCAACTCCAGAGCTGGCTCAGCCTTTGTGAGCTGTTCCAGTTGCAGTAGGGAGCCAGATTTTTGTGCCCTGCAATCACCCCATCATCTGACATGGGCTGCCCCCCATCAAGGAGCTCTTCGGTAAAGGTAATTCTTGGGGAAGGACTCAGCTGAAAGACACTGGCTCCCACTGCTCACAGCAGCTGGGGACACCAGTGCTGGATCCACAACTCCAGGGTCCACTACAGGGCTACCTCACGCTGTCTCCCAATGCCCCCACACCACCCCGTCTGCCGTGAGGTTTCTCCTGGGCTGGTGCTGATTACTGAATGCGGTTGCAGCCATCCTCACCGGGAGTCCAGCAGGGAAGTGTTGCCTAAGGCCCTTCAGCCCTTAGATCCAAAATATATTTGGGGGTATAGCTGTGGATATCCATCCCTGTTCCACCTGTCTAAAACCTCCCCAAACCGCTCTGATAGCATGTCCCGTACCTTCCTTCATATACGCTCCCCAGTAAAAAGCCTGCAGACAATCGTTCAATAGACGACGTTAGGAATCCTACCAATTTTTTTCTCAATAAATCCTGCCTCATACAAATATTAGGCTCTTCCATTTCTTGCATATCATTTCCTCTCAAGTTAAAATCTGTTTTTAAGTGGGCATTTTCAAATTTCCTCATTTTGTGCGTTGCCCTCTCTCCCTGAAGCAGTGAGCACTGCTGGTGGAGAGGAAGACTTCGTGGTGATCCGGACACTGAGTATCAGATTTAGTTGATGCTTCAGATACTTTACCCTCTTTTACAAATGTAGACTGTACCATTTTTGGCCTTGTCACAAAATGCACGTTTCTTTTATTGGCTGCTCTTCCCGTTTGGTAAGTTAGACATACTCTTCAGAGCTCTCACTTTTATTTCAGTGAGCTGATCTCTATGTGCCTGGGGGTAGAGCTCAGTTCCAAGGGCTTGTAATACTGTCTTCCCACAGCCCAAGGAATGGTGTGTGCACCTGCCTTTGTGCACTCAGCCAGGGGGGCAAAGGCCACCTAGTCACTTCTTTCTAATCTATCTGTCCTGGGTATCATAAGGAGGAACCACAGGGACTTGTGGCCTCATTCAAATGGATGTGACCTCACACTCAGATCTTAAGGACCCTCCTTGACCCTCACAAACTGAGCTCTAATGATCCCTTTTTAGAATGTTAGAAGGAACCACTTTTCCTGTCTCCATGGCTCTATGTGAAAAGAAATTATTTCTTTTGCTACCTCTAGAAGTCCTTGGAAATACTCCACTATTTAAGATTGTTTTTCAAACAGAAGTCCAAAAACCCAGTGGAGTTCACCCGTTTATCCTAAAGGATCTGATACATCTCGCTGGATTTTTCATCTCCGATTGACTGTTATACCTGGATTTGTGTTGATATTTAGGTTGACTTTACCACTGAGTTCTCCCACTTTCACTGTTTCTAAGTAGTGAGATGAGAAGCGGGACTAATATGTACCTGGTGCATCTTCGCCAAGCAGTAGCAAAAAGGAACGCAGCCCACTGTACAAAGGCCTCCTAATGGGTGGCCCAGCAGAGTCCTCCAAGGCCTCTATCAGGACGCAGATGCCCAAGCCAGAAGCTGTGCCTCACGGGCAGCGCCCTAACATTTTAAAATGCAAAACATCATCTGTCATGTTAAACTCAGGTTGTTAATTTCAATGCTACTGTTTCAGTTTAAGCTGTCTTTATGTTGTAAATGAGCATATAGAGGGATACCTTATTTTTTACATACTGAGGTACATAGATATACATAACTGCAAATTTAAATAAAAACAATAAAATGATTTAAGCCAGCATAGAAGACAGGTGTAGATACATTTTTAATTTCCTTTCAAAGCTATTTGTGGATTTCTCAAGTTTGAAAAACATCGAAGAGGGGGGCCACATCTTGCTTCAGGGTATGTATTAGAATCAGTAGGGAGAGGTTGATTTTAACATTCTTCTTATTATCTTGCTAATGCTAGCCTTCTTTTCTTTCTCTGTCAGGAGCCCAAGCTATAAGGGAGGTGACTAAGCGATCACATGTACTGCCCAGCTCTTAGAACAAGGTCACAAACAGACCCTGGTCCTTGCCTTCCTCCCCAGCACTCTCTCACCAAGACCTTCTCCCTCACTCAATAAGTTGAAGCAAGGGTGCTTTTCTTATTCCCTTCCACACGTCAAGCTCTTTTTTTACATAAGAGTTGTTTCCTCTTCTCCAGCTAATCTATTTGAGTTTCCGACCTATCTCCTACTTATCCTTCAGAGCTTAGCTTAAATATCACCTCCTTAGAGAGGTATGTGAGCAATATCTATAGGAAGGGGAGAGGAAGCGAAGGGAGGAGGAAGGGGAAAGGAGGAGGGGGAAGGGAAAGGAGGAGGGGGAAGAGG